AATGACAGGACCAACCTGTAAGGCTGTTGAGAGGTTTGACGGACAGCTGTATGGGAATGTGGCCCAAGTGCCTGGCACACAGGAAGTTCTCCATAAGATTAGTTAGTATGAATATGCCTGAAGCCCAGTAACTTTTTTCAAGATGCATACTGTATTATGATTGCTCCCCTGTATTAATATAGATTTATAGTCAATCTGTTACACAAATATTTATTGATCAAGAGTGGTGTGCCAGGACACCATGAGAAAAAATAAAGATAGAAGTACCAGTTGCTGTCAGAGGAATATTAGTGGGACTCAAGATGCCAGAGTGGTGGGCAATCCAGCACAAGGGAGTGCTTCTGGCTGGCTCCCAGGACAAGCCTCCCCCCAGAGGTGGAGCTGGAGCTGAGGTTTGAGGCCAGACAGGATGTCCCCAGTGGGGATGGGGAGGAGCAACAGGACTGCTTTACCACAAGCACAAGACTGACTGTCCGGAGCTCTCCCAGAGGAGACTTGAGGATGGACTAAGGGCTCATAGTCTAAAATGTGCAAGTAGAGGTGCCTTAGTTTCCTAATGCTGCCATAACAGATATACCACAAGTAAGTGGCTTTAAAGAACAGAAATTTATTTTCTCATACTTCAAGAGCCTAGGAGTTTAATGTAGGGCACTGACTCAAGGGGAAAGCAAGATCTTTATCTTTCTTTATCTCTTTCACTCTCTCAGCTCTGGGGAAAGATCCATATCTCGTTCAGTTTTTGTAGCCCCATTGTGCTACAGTTCCTTGGCAATCTTCATGTGACTTCAAATGACCTACCCCCATCTGTGTTTTCTTCTGTGACTAATCTGCTATTTTATGACTCAGAAGTGATTAGGTTTAGGACACACCAACACATTTTGGGAGACACAATTCAGTCCATAAAAGGAAGGTTTTGAAAAGGCAGGGCCAACGTGACAATTGTTACTTATTTGGAAAAAATCAAAAAGTCCAGAAACCAAATGATGTATTGCATTAAGCAAATCTGTGCAAGACCTAAATAAAGTGTTGAACAGCTCCCCCCACCCCCACCTCTCCAAGACTAACACTCAAAGGGAACACTTAGGAGCAGGCATGAAAGCTTGCAGGTGACCTCATTGGTCTTCTGGTAAGTGGAAGTCGGGGAAAGGCAGTAATGAAGATATGGGCTAAGTTCCACCATGTTCCATAGACTGTTGACCTGGAGATGAGAGAGAGAAGTGGAAGGACTGGTATAGTGAGACCTAGGAACGTCTGATCCCATGGACAAGGACATAGACACGGATGGCTGGAGCTGAGAGTGAAGCGCCTAGCTGATATGAAGTAAAGGGAGACACACAAGAACACCCAAACTTGCACATAGTACCCATTTGACCTAGCTTCAATGGCTTGATGATCAGAACTCGACTAGAGAAAGATAAAAAAATTTTTGATAAAGGAAACAAGTGTAAATTGTTACAATTTGATGAACTTGACCTATACTTCTGGATGTTGTTGTTGTTGTTAGGTGCCATCAAGTCGGTACCAACTCATAGTGAACCTATGCACAATAGAACAAAACACTGCCCAGTCCTGGGCTAACCTCACTACTGTTGACATGCTTGAGGCCACTGATGCTGCCACTTTGCCAATCCATCTCACTGGGGGTCTTCCTCTTTTTCTCTTACTCTCCACCTTACCAAACATGATATCCTTCTCCAGCGACTTGCCCCTCCTGATAATATGTCTGAAGTACGAGAGATGAAGTTTGCCCATCCTGGCATCCAAGGAGCACTGGCTGCACTTCTTCCAACACAGATCTGTTGGTTCTTTTGGCAGTCCATGCCACTTCCAATATTCTCCTCCAATACCATAACTCAAAAACATCAATTCTTCTATGGTCTTCCTTATTGCACTGTCCAGCTTTCACATGTATATGAGATTATCGAAAATACTATGGCTTGGGTAGTAGCTCAAAATACCAACCAAAATGGAAGGAATCTTCACATCAAGGATCAATCCTATCCCCTCTGTACACTGGGTTGATAGGGACGGGCAACTAAGATATTGGCTGCTTAAAGTGAGGGGGCAAATCCATACAAAAATTGGCTGGCTTAGAAGTTTTTAAGAGGGAGTTTAGTGTCAGAGTGTGCGGGAGAAGGTAGAACTCCCACTGAATAGTTTTCATCTTGTATAGATGGGTGTGGTGAAAGTAGATGGGAAAAATATTCTTATGATTCAATAGTAATTGTTATCATGACTAATTGCGATCGTCACAACTGTAAAAATCAAAGTTTTGTAACAAAAAGGGGGGAGTAGTTATCCCAGTCACAGATGATCCTAGGACCATCAAGGGAGAAGCACATGAGCAGAATGTGGGAACCTATCCAGAGAAGCAGCAACACCAGAGATGGAGGCAGAGATGATGACATGGAGAGATAGAGCAGATGAGGACTCTAGACTCTTGGAGAGAGAAAGGCTGTGTGCTGGGGGCTAGGAGGCAGGCTTGCAGAATGTGCTCTTTGGTTAAATGATTATATATTCCTGAGTGTTTTTGTGTATATATACAAAACAAAACAAAAACAGGGAATAGAAGCAAATACTGTTGAATGATGATGCATGGAGGGGATTGTAATTATTACAATTAAGCAAAATATAATAGAATGAGTATAAAACTGATGTTTTCCCATGTAAACTATCATTCAATTCACAATAAAAACTTTAAAAATAATCAAATAAAGCATTGAACAGCAAAGATGTCAGTTTGAGGACTAAAGTGCGCCTGACCCAAACCATGGTATTTTTAATAGCCTCATATGCATGTGAAAGTTGGACAGTGAAAAAGGAAAGCCATAGAAGAATTGATGCATTTGAGAAGAGTATTGAAAGTACCATGGATTGCTGGAAGAACAATTAAATCTATATTGGAAGAAATACAACCAGAATGCTCCCTGGAAGTCAGGATGATGAGACTTCCTATCTCATACTTGGGACATATTGTCAGGAGGGACCAGTCCCTGGAGAAGAACATCATGCCTGGTAAAAGGGAGGGTCAGCAAAAAAGAGGAAGACCCCCGATGGGATAGATTGGCACAATGGTACCAACAATGGACTCTAGTGTAGCAACAATTGTGAAATTGTTCATAAAGTTGCTATGAGTCAGAATCAACTTGATAGCACCTAATAACAACAATAACATTTGACAAAATATTATTTTGAAATATACAAATAGAGAAAATAAAGTCAAATAAAATCTTACTGGTTTATGGAGGACTAGAGCTGAAAATTAAGCTTCCAGCTGATATAAACTGAAGGAAGACACACAAGAATGCCCAAACTTGCACATAGTACCCATTTGACCTAGTTTTAGATGGCTTGATGATTAGAACTCGACTAGAGGAAGATAAAAAAATTTTTGATAAAGAAACAAGTGTAAATTGCTACAATTTGTCAAGTAGCTCAAAATACCAACTGAGAGGGAAGGAATCTTCACATTAAGGATCATTCCATCCCCTCTGTACACTGGGTTGATAAGGACGGGCAATTTAGACATTGTTGTTGTTAAGTGCCGTCGAGTCGGTTCCCACCCATAGCGACCCTGTACAGGGTTTCCGAGGGTGTAAATCCTTACGGGAGTAGAAAGCCTCATCTTTCTCCCGTGGAGCGGCTGGTAGTTTCGAACCGCTGACCTTAAGGTTCGCAGCCCGATTCGTAACCACTACGCTACCAGAGCTCCTTGGGCTACTTAAAATGGGGGCGGGGGGAGGGTTATAAAGGCATGAAGTGACTGGCTTACAAGTTTTCAAGAGGGAGTTTAGTTTCAGAGTGTGTTGGGAAGGTAGAACCCCCACTGAATAGTTTTCATCTTGTCTAGGTGGGTCTGGTGAAAGTAGATGAGGATAAGAGTCTTATGATTCAGTAGTGAATAATTGTTATCATGACTAATTGTGATGGTCACAACTGTAAAGGTAGAAGTTTTGTAACATAAAGGGGAGAGTAGTTAATCTTACATCCCAGGAACACAGAACTGTAGGACCATCAAGGGAGAAATTTATGAGGAGAATGTGGGACTGTATCCAGAGAAGCAGTGACACCAGGGATGAAGGCAGAGATGAGGATATGGAGAAATAGAGCTGCTGAGGACTCTAGACTCATGGGAAGAGATAGGTGTGCTGGCAGCCAGGAGGCAGGCTTGCAGAATGTGCCCTTTGTTTGTATAAATGATTATATAGTCCCAAGTGTTTTTGTGTACATCCAAAAAAAACCAGAGGGAATAGAAGCAAATACTATTGAATGATGATGCATGGAAAGGATTATAATCATTGCAGTGAAATAATGAGTATAAAGCCAATGTTCTCCCATGTAAACTATGATTCAATTCACAATAAAAACTTAAAAAAAAAAAATCTTCCTGGCTTATGAGCCTACCTTGAACATAAGGACTCTCCAGAGATCAAAGGAGCATGATGGCAGTTTATTGTTGCTGTTGTAATTGTAGCATTTGTTCATGGTGCCGTATCAGAGAGTGTAAAGTGGAAGGCCAAGTCCACAGCACTTGCTCCCACCTGCCCTGCTGCAGGAGGCCACTGTTGTCTTCCTATGACTCTTGTTTTCTGGGCAAGTCAAGGATTTCTTAGAGGTGGGAATTCTAGCTGTTTCTAGGTAGCTAGGTTGTTTTATGGTCCTTTGTTATTATAAATGTTGCCACAATGAAAGTTTCCCCCTTTCTATTTTTTCAGTGTCCATAAAACAAATTCTAAGCAGTGGAATTGCAAAGTGCAGGATGCATTTTATTTTATCAGACCGTAACACCTGGTTTCCAAGTAGCAGCTTATGAGCTTGAACCACTGACCTTGCAGTTCAAATGGCTTTGCATTCTGACGTAGTGTAATTCTTTCTGTAGGTCTGCCAGCCCCGGAAGCCATACTGAGATGTCATATTCACATCCCCAAAAATGTTTACTTGTAAGCACAAACCAAGTGTTTTATAAATATATAAACTTTTTTCCTCTTTTAACAGGAATCTTTGCCTACATGAACTACAGAGTCCCCAAGACAAGGAAGGAAATTTTTGAAACCCTCATCAAGGGCTTGCAACGACTGGAATACAGAGGCTACGACTCAGCAGGTGGGTCTTCAGGCAGGCAGGTGGATGGGCAGGAGCTGCTCACCCCATCTTCTTTATGAACATTTTTCTGACATTCCTTCCAGTATTCTTTTTAAATATAAAAATAATACGTGTTCATTAAATAAATTTGGAAACTATATAAAAGTAGGAAAAAGAAACAAGAATAAAACAAGAACAACAGCAACAAAACACCATCAAAACATGCCCCTTCACCTATGGATGCACTAGCTCAAAAAGGGGAACAAACCTTTACAGCGAGGATCATTCCCACCCCCTCGGTACACAGGGTAGACAGGGATGGGCAATTTAGACATTGGCTACCCAAAATGGGGCTACAAAGACAAGAAGTGAAATCCAGAGGGCACAGAGGAAGGTAGAATCTCCACTGAGTAGTATCCAATTTGTCTGGGTGGGAATGATGAAAGGAAATGAGGATAGGACTCTTGTGATACAATAGTGAATAATTGTTATCAGGACTAACTGTGAGGTTGGAAGTGTAAAGGCAGACATTTTGTAGCAAAAGAAGGAGAGTGATTAAATTTGCAGGCAAGAAGCGGAGGTCCCTGGGACCATCAAGAGAGAAGAGTGGAGAGCGGGACCCTACCCAGAGAAGCAGTGATGCCAGAGATGGAGACAGAGACAATAATGTGGAAAGATGGAGCGGCTGGGGACTCTAGACCCAGAGAGGGAGAGGGGCTGTGTGCTGACGATTGGGAGGCAGGCTTGCAGGGTATACCCTTTGGTTGTTTGATGATGCATGGAGGGAATTGTAATCATGGCAGCAAAACGATATAGGATAGGATGAATGTAAAGCTAATGTTCTCCCATGTAAACGATCACATAATTTACAATAACAACTTTTAAAAAATAAATAAACATACCCCCTCTATGACAGTATAACAATATATTTATGTCTCTCTGTCATTGTGGTGTGAACCTGATGGTTGAATGCAGAGGGGAGGAGAGAGTAGAGAAAAGAAAGGTGTCTGTGCATATATATTTTTGTATTTTTCATCTAATAATTAACTCTACTTATAAACATTTTTAGTTTTACTTTCTTTTCTTTTTTTCTCACTTACCTTGAGCATTTTCCAGTATTCTAAATGTGTCCTAAATATCTAAGGGGCCACACAACCCTCCACTGAGTCACTGTCTCAGAATTGACCTCGGTCTTCCTGCCAGTTACCAGCTGCCATTGAGCTGGCTCCAATACATGGCAAGTCCTTATGTGTCAGAGTAGAACTGTGCTCCGTAGAGTTTTCAGTGGCTGAATTTTTGGAAGTTGATCACCAATCCCTTCTTTTGAAGTGCCTCTAGGTGGACTTGAACCTCCAATCTTTCAGTTAGTATCTGTGAGTGTTAACCATTTACATCACCCAAGGACTACTCTATCCTCCCAACCAGTGGATATTTAATCCAAGTCCTGTTTTTAATTAGACATCCTTAGGAAAAAGAGTGAGGCATTTCTGCAATCAGACATATTTATATCTCTATTAATTCGTAACAGAAAACAATCAGATAAAAAATTGCAAGAAGACCAATGCAATATGTCCAACTATAATAAAATTGAAAAAATATAAGATAAGTGTTGTTAATGAGCCCATTGCTATATTGGTGACCTTGGTGATGCTTCGCCTAGGCAAGCTTCTCTGGTGCTTACCTTGGCTAGAAACTCTCAGCAGAAGTTAAACTGGGCATGGAACAAGCATGCCACATGTCCCTCTGCTTCCTAGTAAGTGTCACCACAGGCACAGGTTCTTGGTTCAAAGGAAGTTTCCTGAAAATGCATTGTTCATTTGGGGCAAGCTTGGGAATCAAGGACTTCAGTATATAGTTATCTGGTCCTATATAGTACCTGGTGATGGAGGGTGGGCGACAGAAACTTAAATTCCAACATAATTTTTAAATTTTAAATGATGTTTAAATTACAGGTGTGGCAATCGATGGAAATAATAATGAGGTGAAAGAAAGACGCATCCAGCTAGTCAAGAAAAGGGGAAAAGTCAAGGCTCTTGATGAAGAACTTTACAGTAAGTGGGGAAACACCCTCAGATAGAGGAATCAATGCAATTATGGTTACTTTAGAAGCTTTTATTCCAGCAGCATTCTAAACTCAAAGTATTAACTTATCCAAGCTTAGATCAGCAGAAGGATGGTTAAGTCCATGTTGTAAAATAGTGTTTCCCAATAGATTCTTTGAGGTAGTGATACATAGAATTTTCTTTAACATTTTAATCATCGTGTATTTATTTTAATATGGCAAATTATACTGCTTTCAATATTTAATGATGGTGGTGGTGGTGGCTATTTGCTGTGGAGTCTGGTTCTGATTCATAGGGACCCTGGGTAGGGTTTCCAAGGCTGTAAGTCTTCATGGGAGCAGAAAGTCTCATCTTTCTCCCAGTGAAGCGCCTGGTAGATTTGAACTGTAGACCTTGCGGTTGGTTAGCAGCCCAACTTGTAACCCACCATGCTACCAGAGATCCTTCAATTTTCAGTAGTGACATACAAATTTCTCTTAAGGTAAGTTTATTTTCATCAAAAAGTGAGTTAAGTTACTGATCAGTACTAAACAAACAACAGTGAGGTGGTACCTAGGTCTGCCAGAAAGCGCCGGGGTGGGAAGTGAGTAGAGATGGTGGGGCTGAGCTATTGACAGAGGTGATACCCCTTGATACTGTACTGGCATGCCTTTCCTGGGCCCTGCAGGAAACATTGCATCAATACTTATTTATACAGTGTGGCAAACTGATTTCTCTTTCATTTAGAACAAGACAGCATGGACTTAAAGGTAGAATTTGAAACCCATTTCGGCATTGCCCACACACGCTGGGCCACCCATGGAGTGCCCAATGCCATCAACAGCCACCCACAGCGCTCAGACAAAGGCAACGGTATGTAGTATGGCTCCTTGCTCCCCATCCCCAAGCCACATACCAGAACGGGCTCCATAGGTACCCTTACTAACTTCTTAGCATGCTCTTTCTGCTCTAGAAAATACAAATATTCCCTCTTCTAAAACCCCAGCTGGTGGTACTGGCCCTCAGCCAGGAGACAAATGAAGCCTGGTCCCTGGGCTGTGCCAACTTCCCAAGCATCCACTTGACAATGATGCCACTTACCTGTGAATGCTGTTGTTTCTGGGACCTGAGCTATGATCAAGATATGGCAGCATGAGGAACCGATGGCCTTGATACTATTCCTCCACAAGAGATGCATTTTTCTGAGTGCTGGGTATTTAAGGGAAGGTTTCAGGCTTCTTGCTCATCCAGTTACCCATCTCCCCCAAAACGAGAGTGGTTTGCTGAGTAAGGGCAGGTGGTTAGTGTCAGAGGTGCCAGCTCTAGTCTCTGGATCCCAGCAATAAGAACTTAGTGGCCAAGGGCTTGAGATTTTTAAAAATAGGTTGCAACAAATGACCCAGTCAGCTCAGTTTGCTTTATGTTTTTAAAAATTGAAAATTATTTTGCAAAGAAATGCAGCCCTCTGGCATCTCTTGATGGACTAGATAGTATGGAAACACTGGGCCCACTGGGCCCTGGGATTCCGCATACCCAATGTGGGCAACAGGATAGGGGCAGGAAATGCTGCTCAAAGTGAGTATGCATGACAGCCACAGGGCCCAGAGGTCCTTTGTGGTGGGTACAAGCTTCCTACTCTTTCAAAGGCCCATTATACCAGTCCCAGCTCACAGATGCACGTCACCTACTTGGGCCCCATTCTGGTCAAGTGTCCATGCCATGTGCATCAGGCAGGGTTCTCCAGAGAAACAGAACCATAGCTAGCAGATTTATAAGTATTTAAACCAGTTTCTATAAGAAAACCCATAGATGAATTGATGCTTTTGAGTTATGGTGTTAGAGAATATTGAAAGTGCCATGGGCTGCCAACAGATCTGTGTTGGAGGAAGTGCAGCCAGAGTGCTCCTTGGAGGCCAGGATGGCCAAACTTCATCTCCCATACTTCAGACATGTTGTCAGGAGGGACCAGTTGCTGGAGAAGGATATTATGTTTGGTAAAGTGGAGGGCTAAAGAAAAAGAGGAATGCCCCCAGCAAGATGGATTGGCAAAGTGGCAGCATCAATGGGCTCAAGCGTGGCAACGATTGTGAGGTTGGCCCAGGATTGGGCAATGTTTTGTTCTGTTGTGCATAGGGTCGCTACGAGTCGGTACCGATTCAATGGCACCTAACAGTAACAACAAACGAGTTTCTGTAGAGCTGATTCCAACTCATCATGACCTCATGTGTTGCAAAGTAGAACTGTCTCATACGTTAGTCAATGGCTGTGACCTTTCCAAGGCACCTTTGGGTAGACTTGAAGTTCCAACCTTTCCAGTTAGCATCTGGCATATTAATTACATGGCCCCTCCTCTACCCAGGGATTCCAAGTATAGATTTACACAAAAGGGTTTTTTGAAGTCCCCTCCTAGATATATAAGAGATTTATTTTTAGGAATTGGTTTATGCAATTGTGTGGGACTGGCAAGTCTAAAATCTGTAGAGCAGGCTGACTGGCTGGAAATTCAACCTGGATTTCTGTGCTGCAGTCTTGAGACAAATTTCCTTCCTTCCTTCCTTCATGTTTTTGCTCTTTAAGCCTTCGACTAACTGATTGCAGCCCACCCATATTGTGCAGAGTTATCTGCTTTACTTAAAGTCAATTGATTATAAATGTTGATCATATCTAAATACCTTCATAGCAATGTCTAGTATTTGACAAAAAATAATAATAATAATAGTGTTTGGACACATAGCCTAGTATAGTTGACAACTGACATTGTGATTCTCTTAAATGACACTCCTAGGCCTCCTCTCATGGGGAAGGACTGATAGGTCTGGAACGCCCAATGGAAGTTCCTGGTGTGAGGAGTGAAATAAAAGAAAGGGTATAATCCGTAACTCCTCCCAGGGCTCAAAACATAGCCCAGTGGGTCCCAGTGGGTTATACATGATCAGGTCAAAATTCCCTAATGACTTAAATCTGGGCATGAGTGTCTGGCAAAGAGAATGCTTTTCTGGAGTCATACCAGGCATGGACCCCCACCCCAAGAGCACCCCCTGGCATAATAGAAGTTCTTGCCAAGCTCCAGAATAGAGTTGTGCACCATTGAGTCATATGCGGACTCATAGTGACCCATTAGCACATTGTAGAACTGCCCGATGAGGTTTCCTAGGCTGTAATTTTCACTAGAGCAGTTCACCAGGAATTTTCACCTGTGGAGTGCTTGGTGGGTTCAAACTACTGGGCTTTCAGTTAGCAGCTAAGTACTTAACCATTGTGCCACCAGGGCTCCTTTTAGCATAGTGGTCAGATAATAAATCAGTATTTGTTGGGTAATTATTATCAGACACTGAGGAAAACCCTTGACAAGCATCCCTGTAGTTAATCCTCATGAAAGTCAGGCTATAGGAGAGAGCTGTACCTCTCTGTCCTGTGTACTTTACCAACCACAGGTCAGTGGTACCCTGAGGCAGCCTTCAGCAGTGGGTGGAAAGGATGAACACACACACACACACACACACACATACAGAAAGCATGCGAGGTGCAGCTTCTCTCTAACACACTCTCAGGATGCACCAGCTTCCCCTGTCTGATTTGGAGAATCGAAGGTGAGCCCTGTCCACCTCATTAGCAGAGCACCTGGAGGTAACACAGGGCTGGAGCTACATAGCTGTCTATGTGTTCCATCTTTGTGCAGTGAGATTTTTGCTGGGGATTACTTCTTGAACCTGGTCCATACACTGTCAGAGAGCATCCTTGAACCATAGTGTGACCTCCTTCCTGGGGCAGGTATCCTACCCCATGACAAAGACAGCAGATCCCATGATGCTAAGGACCTGGCATGTACTCTCCAGCCAAACCCCAGGTTAAATGTAGACACTGGTCCCTGGAGCAGCAATGTTGACTGAGGGGCAGGGGAAAATCTCAAGCTAGCCACAGGACTTTCTATTGAGTTTCTCACTTATCGGCTATGTACTGAGAAAATGCAGCACTGACTTAGACAAATACACTCCTCACTCTTCCAGAACCAGGGGTGTCACACCTGTGTAAGGAGCACCCTGTGTGAGTAGGGTGTGCCATTTTTATGCAAGGCAGGGGGGAAACGTCTAAAGAGAAGTTCTTGTGGCCATGCAGGAATGTGGGTGAGCCCAGGGGTACCAGAACTTTTGGGGAGTTTTTTAACCAAGATAATTAGTATTTCCATTGAAAAGTCAAGAGTTTAAAAACAAACATATAAAAATACAGTTTTGACAAAATACAATAATATGAGTGTAAAACCGATGTTCTCCCGTGTAAGCTATCACTCAATTCACAATAAAAACTTTAAAAAAAAAGGTTTTAAACAAAGTACACCTATGGGCTGCTAGTTTATGATTTTTTTTTTATAGCTTAAAGCCTACTGGGGGTGAGTAGAATTCCTTCTGTATATAATGAAGGGTTAATCATTCCCCATTTGGCCATATTACCAAAGTCTGTTTGATAATACTATACACCATAAGTAAGAGCACTATACATAACCAGATTGGTCAACATATTTTCTTGAAAGAGACGTATGTTTCTTCAAGATTGAATTGTAGACATCATAGCAGATGTCAGTTCTCTTAACTGTAAATGAAGTTTGATTAATAGACGTGTTCGTAGGGACAGCATTTTCAAGTTGTCTAACCATCCTCCTTACCATCTGACTTGAACTTCATTTCATAATAGTATTCTATACTGATTAAACTTTTCTTTCAGAATTTGTCGTCATACATAATGGAATCATCACAAATTACAAAGATCTGAGGAAATTTCTGGTAAGATACTTCTCCTGAATAACATCAAGTGATGCTGGTCTTTCCCAGAAACTTTTAAACCTGCATATTTTCCTGGAAACAAATGTAGGAAGGGAGTGGGGCCCACTCTCAGCCTTGTATCAATCTCAATCCCAGTTTTAGATAACCTCCCCACATCTTGTCTGAGGAGATATTGAGGCGTTCACATTTACCTCAAGGGCTATTACAGGGTCACAGAATCAAAATAATGTGAACCTTTTAATGTTTCTGCGCTATACAATGGAGTCCTGGTGTGGCACTATAGGATAATCACTGGACAGTTAACCATAAGGTTGATGGTTCAAACCCACCAGCCACTCCTTGGAAACCCCATCCAGGGTTGCTATGAGTTGGAACCAACTCAAGGGTACTTAACAATAACAAGAAACACTAAGTCACATATTGTACACTGAATGAGATGTGGGGTGGGAAGTTAGGCAGGGAATGTCTAAAGTATGAAAAGGTTGTACAGTTGTTGATTTTAAAATATGTAGGTGGATTTTACTCACATATTTTATCATTTTGACTGATGGGATTTTGCAATGTCCGGATTAATGGCAGTGACAAGTTCGTGAGGCAGGATGATCTCAAAAAATACAGGAATAACTCAGGAGTGTTTGGCTGTGATTTCTCCTCTCTTCCCAGTTTGCCTTGTTCTCGCCTTAACTCACTCCAAGGGCAAATCATAAGGGAGGAGAGGTAGCTGGCCAGACCAGCACTAAACAATGTGATTATTATCTGACAATTGTGTCCAAACAAATATTCCAGGAAAGCAAAGGCTATGAGTTTGAGTCAGAAACAGACACGGAGACCATTGCAAAACTGATTAAATACGTGTTCGACAACAGAGAAACTGAGGATGTCAGATTTTCAACGCTGGTGGAGAGAGTCATTCAGCAATTGGTAAGTCACAAGTCCCATCTATCCAAATAATTCCTTCATTTTCATAAACACTTGTTAAGTAAGTTTGGGTAAAGATGGGTCATCTACAGCATCTGAACTTAAAATATTACATCCTTATAGAATGGGTGAAGTTCTGTGTTCTTTGGAGTAAGCATTAGATGGAAAGTGTATTGCTTCTTCTCTTTGAGTTGCAAAGTTTTTCACATTTCTTATTTCTAAACCTGTGATCAGTCTTATAATTTATGGCTTCTCATGATCACATGTTGTACACATGAACTTGGTCATGACTGTTCATGTTGTTATCTTTTCAGCTGAGTGTTGTGCACTGCTGGTTTATGAACACAAGATGAATTTCACTGATTCATTAAAGAGATTTCAAATTGTAATCTTTCCTCCTGTGATACTAAGTAAAGCAATTATCCATCATGGAGGAGAAATGCCCACAAATCATCACCACATGGAGCTGAAGGAGTAGAGATAGCAGGTGTAGGCTTTGGAGAAGTTAGATTTTAGAAAAAGCAGCTAAATGGTGCTATGGTTGAAAGGGAGCATAGCTCCCAGAGAGGACTGGAGTTTTGTGATAAGAGACACTAGAGCATGGTTGTTTGCTGAAGGGAATGACTTATTAGAGAGAGAAATAAATTGATGGTGTCCCAGAGAGATAAAATCTCATGAAGGGGAGCCACATGTATGGGGGGTGGGGTTTAGCCAGGAAGAGACCTCTTCCTTGGAGGAGAAGGTGGAACAGGCACAGACTCCATATCCATCGATATGGGGAAGAGAATGCTCCCAGTATCTCACGGATGGTACTCCCAGGCAGACCTGTCAAATCATTCCTACAATACAGTGGCAGCTAGAGATGCTGTTGAGGGCCTAGAACATCTAAGGTCAGAGGCTGTGGCAGATATGATACCATAGTTTAAAGTGTATCATCCTTGGGTGTTTTCAAGTGGTTTGTCCTAAAAAGGAAGTTCATTGTTAAAACCCTTTACCCTAGGACTCCTGTTTCAGGGATAATTCAGAGAATATATTAATAAATAAGAACCTGTTCCACAAGAAATGTGTCATATAAAGTATAGTAAGCCACTTTGGTATTGAATCATGTATTACTCCCTTTCCATTTGTAATTCTAAATTTCTGAAATGTGTCCCCAGTAATGGCACTTTTGAACTTTAGTGCCTTCTCTTACCTAAAGCACCATGGGAGTCTTTGGGGCAAGAAATGCAAAGTGTCTTTCTACTTGCCTTTACTCATAGTTCTCAAAACCAGCAAGGTAAATGTCAAACCCCTTGGAGTCTGCCTGAACACCAACCCTTTGAGGCCTGAGGATGCTGACTTCCTCCAGGCCCCTCTGGCTATACAACCCTGGGTTGGCCCACGTTAATATAAGAGATAGTCACATGGAAACCAAGATCTACAGCTGGTTTGTGTATAACTGAGATGATAAGTTATTACAGGATGATCAGAATGAAGGGTAGAAATTTTCACCGAGAATTTAAGAGGAAAGAGTATTTAGAGTGTTGAGTTAGGAGAACTTGAGTTTAGTTATGGCTGTGCACAAACCAAAATGAAGAACAGAGGCCAAAGGACATTCATAATCACAGAAGTAATAAGAAGAAGAAATATGAGAATATATGATATAATTATATTTGTTGTTGGTAGGTGCTATTGAGTCAGTGCCAACTCATGTGACCCATACACAACAGAATGAAACATTGTCTGGTCCTGCACTATCATCACAATTGTCTTTTGTTTGAGCCATCATCATTGTCACTGTATCATTCCATCTCATTGAGGGTCTTCCTCTTTTTTGCTGGCCCTCCACTTTGCCAAGCATGATGTCCTTCTCCAGGGACTGGTCCCTCCTGACAACATGTCCAAAGTCCAAGAGATGAAGTCTCGCCATCCTGGCTTCTAAGGAGCATTCTGGCTGCACTTCTTCCAAGCAGCTTTGTTTGTTCTTCTGGCAGTCCACGGTACTTTCAATATTCTTCAAATGCATTCTAACTCAAATGCATCCGTTTTTCTACAATCTTCCTTATTCATTGTATGATAAACTGACAAGTGGTGGATATAATTATATATCATATATAATATATGTATTATATAGTATATATCATTATAATTATATGCCTATGTATTACTTTTACTGTAACAGCTCATTCTTTTATTGGCTTCTCTGTATCCCAGGCACTTGTCTAAGCACTTAAAATGCATTCACTTGTAGTGAATTCACTCACAGAAACCATACAGTTTTCCACCTCTGTTCACAGATGAGGGAAATGAGACCCAAAGAAGGTTACAATGACTTGCCCCTAAATGATGGAGCCAGGATTTGAACTCTGGCTCTGACATGAACTGAGCTAAGGGCAGTTTGTGGATTAGCCTCTCCAGTCCTCCCAGTTGTTCCCTAGGGGATAAAGATGCTGTCCCTGATGACCAGTGCAGGGTCCCCACAACCCCCATTCTCACTTTCTGTGGTTCCACCCAGCAATCACAGTGCTGGGAGTCCCTGATGGGGTGCCTGTGGGTTCCAGTAGGGTGCATTATATGTTACTCACAGGTTTGGCATACTCAGCATGGTGCCATCATGCTTTGCTTTCTTCTCCTGACATCACTTCCACTGTTATGGTATTGTTAATTGCCGTTGAGTCGATTCCGACCAATAGCGACCCCGTAGAGGAGCTCTGGTAGCGTAGTGGTTACGAATTGGGCTGCGAACCTTAAGGTCAGCGGTTCGAAACTACCAGCTGTTCCGCGGGAGAAAGATGAGGCTTTCTACTCCCGTAAAGATTTACACCCTCGGAAACCCTGTACAGGGTCTCTATGGGTCAGAACCGACTCGACGGCACTTAACAACAACAGCAACAAATAGGGTTTCCAAGGAGCAGCTGGTGAGCTTGAACCACCAATCTTGCAGTTCAAACAACTTTGCAGTCTGACGCATTAACCCACAGCGCTACACCAGAATTCCAAATAAGTCATTTAGAATGGTTTAATCAGGAACTGTGGTTCTAGTGAAATCTTGTTAAGTGTCATCAAATCGGTTCCGATTCATAGCAACCCTGAGGAGTGGCTGGTGGGTTTCAACCACCAACCTTGTGGTTAGCAGTCCAGTGCTTATCTTATAGTGAAATCTTTTGAAGGTGTAGAAGGGCTGGTGATGCAGGAATTCACCATTTGAGAGGTTTTCAATGGTCTAGAAACTGCCATATGTGCACTCCAACCAAGGGTAAAGGGTGGCTTTGTATTTACAGTGCAGTGAGATGACAAAATTAAGTATCTTGGAATGATGACTTTCTGTCCAATCTTGTTAAGTACAAGAGTCACATTAAAGCTATATCTTTTCAAATGAAGAATGAGGACCCTGAGCAGTCGGTTAAATTTGTGCCTGACTAAAGCACACTTCCCCCACATTTTTCACAGGAATATTCAAGTTCTTTTGCCCTAAAGAAAAGATGAAGAGAATCTTGAATTGATCAAGGAGGAAGTGGCTTTTTCCTTTGAGGAAGGTCAATGGAGAGGTCATTAAATTGTTCTCTTTTGGGAATAATCCTTCCACAGTCTTTACAAATGGTTTTGGGCTTCCTAAATGAGCACTTGCCAGCTTGATCCCAGCACCTCTAGTGGTGACAAGAAGTCCAGGGAAATCTTTCTTTGCCAAGCTGCCCTTCACATTCTCTGGTGTGTTTTTAGGAAGGTGCGTTTGCGTTGGTTTTCAAGAGCATCCACTATCCAGGAGAAGCTGTTGCCACAAGGTGAGGTAAAACACATTGGCATTTTCAATAGAAAACGAATGGTAACAACAGTGCGATCGCTCAGTGATCATGGGGATAGCGCACAACCAGGCAGCATTTTGTTCTGTTGTTCATGGGACCTCCAGGAGTTGAGGTCAGCTTGATGGCAGCTGACAGCAAGAAAGTTGCCAAACAACTGACCTATATGAAAAGGAGGGTCAAAAGGAAATCTTTGGGTAGATCCTGAACATCTAAGTGCTTCACCTTTAAAGATGAGCAGCAAATGAAGGCTGAATTGGAGCTCCACAGTGCTCATGCAAGCCTCATGGGGGTTCTTTTTACTGCTTAAAGTTTGAGCTTCTGTCATCTGATTGTGTGGATTAGTCATGTGTGGGGGTTCAGTAGCAGGTCCCTTGAGGGTGGAGCTGGGACAGATTATCAGGTGGGTGAGCCCATGAAAGGGAACTAGGACTCATATGCTAGCCTGTTGGTAATGCTCTCCGCAGTTCCTGCCTCAAACCTTGAAAGCATGGGGGCCCAGGAGTCCGTACTGTGGGAACTAAGCCTGACATACTGCCCCTGGGAAAAGGGCTAGATTCGAGAAGCCCGTCTCAGAAGCTAGGAGAACATACAGTGTTGAAAGTGATGAATAACCTCATTCCCTCTTCACCTAACAGGAGAGGCAGCCCACTGCTCATTGGAGTGCGGAGTAAATACAAACTGTCCACAGAACAAATCCCAATTTTGTATAGGACATGTAAGTTCCTTTAAGCAAAAGGCTTGCACACAGCTACTGATCAGTGTCTCGAGACTTACCAGATGCTCTGGTGCATGTCAACTCCCTTGGAGGCAAGGTTGCATTTAGAAGGAGGTGGGAGATGATGGGGACATATGTCCAGGTCTCAAAGATTTTCATGAAATGGAGACTTGGCTCCATTTTTGTTAGCACTTCTTATTATGGATATTTTCAAATATACATAAATTTAGAGAGAACAGCATCTGGCTCTGTTATATAACAGCAACATGCCCTGATTAGAAGTGTTTATTTGGTTTGTCTTTGTATTACTCTCAGACTATAGCAGTTTATATGCTCTTGCAGTGGTACTGTGCTATTTGGGGATCTTTTGCAGATTTGGCTGACACAGCCAAAGCTAAAAATTGTGACTCCCTCCCCCACATATTCAAAGGGGAAATTGTTGTTGCAGGCTAGTCAAACTAAAGATTTTATGAGATTTGCAATCCATTTACTAGGCAACATTGAGAATGTGAAGAATATCTGTAAAACAAGGATGAAGAGGCTGGACAGCTCCACCTGCCTCCATGCTGTGGGCGATAAAGCTGTGGAATTCTTCTTTGCCTCTGATGCAAGGTAAATAGGCCTTTCTTCCTAAGATTAACCAAGAATGCCTGGCTCAATACTGACATTGCTGACCTAGTCCCTTCCCCCACATGTGAGCAGATTCCTCAGGACCCAGCAAGGAGCTGGCTGAAGGTGGGTTCCAGCCTCTGGTGCCCTCCTCCAAGGACTCTTAGCCAGGAGCACCTGTGTGACTATTTTCAGACACTTGAGCAAAAGGCAGACGTTACTGTCTGATGGCTGAAGGCCAGATTCACTGGCAGATACATTGTTTGGCCTGCACAAAATAATTCAGTTCCTCACCAATGTTTTACAATTGGGAGATTTCACATGAAAGTCTGGCTTGCTTAGCTTCTCTGAGTAAACAAGTGGATCTGCGCACACTGTACTATGCTCACTTGGGCCCCGGTGGTCTACGGCTTCAGAGTCCTTCCCTGGCCCATCCCACATTTGCCTGAGGTCTTATCATTTGTAAGAGACAGAGCCAAGACTTAGTTCTTGGTCCATTTGATTCTGAAGTCTGTGTCTTCATCAATGTTGAAAATAATAATTTAAAAGTTTGAGAGATTCTGCTTCTTATTCCATCCCCTCAAAAAACTAGTTGCTATCGAGTTGATTCCAACTCATGGCAACCCCATTTGTGCAAAGTACAAGTACACTCCATAAGATTTTCAAGACCATGACCTTTTGGAAGTAGATTGCTAGGCCTTTCTTCCACAGAATCTCTGAGTGGGTTTGAATTGCCAACTTTTTAGTATGTAAACAGGAGCTTAACTGTTGGCTCCACCTAAGGATCCCACTTCATACCCACTTGGGGAAAAAAATAAAAACCTAACTGAATATGCACACATATACATATACTCACATAGAAAACACCAGAACACTTTTTAGCTATTTGCAATAGAAAACCATTGTAAACACCACTATTATCACCTTTGTCTAAACTTTTATTATTCCTCATTGTGCAACAGGGATGACACCAGGCTAGGCCTCCAGGGAAATGAGTGACAAGAGCCCAGAGCCCCGGCTGCAAGACCTGTTTCAGTCCACAGCCAGTATCAGACTTAACGCTGATAGGTTAGGGCAGCATTTGTCATACTGTGTCCCTTGGAACACTATTTCAAAGGCATGCTAATATTATTTCAGTGATTCTAAGACATGCATTATTTTACAGATTTTATCACTTATAAATAGCATCTTGGTGTGGCCTATAGGGTAAGCACTGGACTGCTTAACCACAAAGTTGATGTATCAAACCCACCAGCCACTCCTCAGAAACCCTCTGCAAGGTTGGTGAACTTAAGCCACCAACTTTGTAGTTCAAACTGACATTGTAGTACAGTGCATTGATTACAGCACCACAGCAGATTTCTTAGAAGTATGCAAAATAATCGTGGTCTTACAACCAGTGGCACCTTACGTTTACTGAAATACAATAGATATTTATCAAAGGAAAAAAATGATCAGATAAGATTTGTTGGGGTTTTAAGGGTGAAAACTCATTACCCACAAGTCCCAAACCAAATTGAGAACTAATGGGAGACCAAAAGGTAAAACTGAACTGAAGGACATGACTTGAACTCAGTTGGCCACGTTGGTTTCTTATTATTTCCCCCTAGTACCAGAACAATCCACTTAGCAGTAAGCTGATTCACTGACCCAGAATTGGTATCTCCCAGCATTAGACTCTCAGACCTGCCTTAGGTATGGACAAGCTGATCTAAAATATGTTGTTGTTGTTGTTGTTAAGTGCTGTCAAGTTAGTTTGGACTCATAAGAGACCCTGTATAGGGTTTCTGAGGAGCAGCTGGTGGGTTTGAACTGCTGACCTTGTGGTTCGCAGTCCAGATCCTACAGCGCCACACCAGGAGTCCCACCTTGTCCCAGAAGCCCCATGTGTGAAACAGTGAGAGAGGAAAAGGGTACCTGCTGCCTTCACACCATTTCACAGTTTTCTGGGAGTGCTGGTCAGTGCAATAAAAGGAGAGAAAGAAGTAAAATGCAGAGTTGCCTGAACCCATTCCTACTGCCATCATGTCAAATTCCAACTCAGTGACTCTGTAAAGTGTTTCCAAGACTGTAAATCTTTACAGGACCAGAATGCCTCATCTTTCTCCCATGGAGTGGCTGGTGGATTTGAACTGCTGATCTTGCAGTTAGCAGTCCAGTGCTTACCTTTTAGCATCAATGCCTTTATTTTAGAGCATTTCCTGAGGAAATGAAAAAATGATGTGAAGGCAAAATGATTATTCACTCAGTTAAACATACTGGATATTTGATGCTATTAAAGAACAATTATTCATTTAAGATGTGATAATGATATTATGGGAACGTAGTGGCTCTGTAGGATAAGCACTGGACTAGTAACCACAAAGTTGATGATTCAAGCCCACCAACTGCTCTGCGGGAGAAAGATGAGGCTTGCTACTCCCACAAAGAATTACATACAGCCTTAGAAAAGGGTCACTATAAGCAGAGCCAACCCAATAGCACTTAACAACAACAGTGGCATTATAGTGCATTTTTTAAAGAGTATCTTTTGGAGATCTACTCATATGTTTGCAAAAGAAAAGATACAATGTGTAGGATGGACTTCAAAATAATCTTAGGGCTGGGAAGTGGGTTGTGGAACAGAGCGAGCTATGAACAAAATTAACTTGGTGGTCATTGAAGCTGAATGATAGGTACATGGGAATTCATTATAGTGGTCTCTACTTCTGCATACTTTTGGAATTTTCCATAATTAAAAGTTTTGTTTTTTTTAATTAAAAAAAAAAGTCTAGAGACTGCTCTCTCTTTGTTAAAAAGGGGAATTGGCAAGTATTCAAAGAGGTTTTCAAAACACCTAACCTCAATTTTCTTCTTTGAGATAATTAATCAGAAGGATTTAAGAGACTTGGAGAAAGAATTTCTTTCTCATCTGTGAATGGATGCTTTGAATGAAGTGATTCTGACTCTCCTAAAATGCCATCCAGCATCTTTAGTATGGACCAAGGCCTTGAGAAACAGTGATTGGCTGCTGTGTTGCAGTTGTGAGGAGCAGGGCCCATGCATGACAACTGTGCTTTCCTTGCTCCAGTGCTATCATAGAACACACCAACCGGGTCATCTTCCTTGAGGACGATGACATTGCAGCAGTGGCTGATGGGAAACTCTCCATTCACCGGGTCAAGCGTTCAGCTAGTGATGACCCTTCTCGAGCCATCCAGACCTTACAGATGGAATTGCAGCAAATCATGAAAGGCAAGTATCCTCTGAGAGTCTGTGTGTGGAAGCCCCAGGGAGTAGAGGTTCCATGGTGGGCATCACCCTTCCTACCTACCATGGTTGCCAGGGTGAGGTTCAGGGCTTCAGTGTTCACACAGTTGAGAGAGCATGGGGAGGCTGATCTCCAGGAGAAGTACCTGTCTCTAAGAACCTTGTACTCTAAGAGACCCCTGCCTTGACCTGGCCCTGTCAGCCCTCTCCCTGTGGCACACTCTCCTGTGCACCTCAGTGTCCTCTTCTCTGGAAGGGAGGTCTACAGTAATAAAGGACTCTGGACTATTTTATTCCTGTAAGCAGTGCCTGTCTCCCTGCACCTAGTTTAGTCAGGCAAATCTCTCCCTTCCTTAAACCGCAAGGTCACTGGGTGGTGCAAATGGATTGTGCTTGACTACAAACCTAAAGGTTGGTGGTTCAATCCCTCAACCCCCAAGCATCACAGAAGTCCTGGTGATTTGCTTCTGTAAAGACTGCAGCCAGGAAAACTTTATGGATCAATTGTATGCCTGAATACTTAAGGTTGCCTAAATTGGAACTGATTCAAATACAACAAGTTCTGAACCTGCCAGACCCTATTATGTAAACTGGGGATAGTAATCATGTCATCATGACCATCAGGCAGGACAATGCCTGGGACCACCTTTTGTGGTGGGATTTATATGAATCACCATTGTGACTATCTCGTGTTATTTCAGCTTAATTAAACTGTCAACAAAAAGACGATTGCCCTGAAGTCGATTCTGACTCATGGTAATCCTTTATGTAATTCAAAACTGACCTGTCTGGACTATGTTTCTTTAACCAGGTAACTTCAGTGCATTTATGCAGAAGGAGATCTTTGAACAGCCAGAATCTGTGTTTAATACCATGAGAGGCCGGGTGAATTTTGAGACCAACACAGGTAATTCTGATACTCCGCTGGGAGCCCCTGTCTGTGTTCTGCATAGAAGAATGGGTTCAGTGGGTAGAGTGTGGCCTTGATGCCCTGCCATGTGCCCTGCAGTGCTCCTGGGTGGCCTGAAGGACCACTTAAAGGAGATTCGTCGGTGCCGACGGCTCATCGTGATCGGCTGTGGAACCAGCTACCATGCCGCAGTGGCAGTAAGTGCAAGATGTTGGACCCGGTACAGTGCAGGAGAGTTAGAAAAGGCCTAGGATGAGAATCTGGTCTAAAATTTTTGTCCTGCATTTGGCAAAGTCCTTGCTCCCATCCCCATAACCCAACATGGAACCCTTTGCCCTGAGTATGGCCTTTCAGTGACTGAAGTTCCCTCACCATCCAGATACTTTGTAAAGCTGTTGCTAGAAGCCCCACTGCCCTGTTCTCCCTTAGGGTCCATGACTGACTTTAGTCCCCATTCTTGTTGGCTTCAGACACGGCAGGTTTTGGAGGAACTGACCGAACTCCCAGTGATGGTTGAACTTGCTAGTGACTTTCTCGACAGGAACACACCTGTGTTCAGGGATGACGTTTGCTTTTTCATAAGCCAGTCAGGTAAGGGATACGGGCAAGCTGGCCAGGTTTGCTTTAGTTCATCTCAGGGCTCTCTCCTCTCTGTAACACCTCGTACACCTCTTCCGTCCTCTTTCCTTCGTCATCCTACTAAATCCTCTGCACACCTACTCTATGCCATACACTTACTCATGCATCAGGTCGTTTCACCCTGACAGTTAGCAGTTACTGTTGCCTTTGTTCAGGAGAGTATGTGACTGCCAAGGCCATGCAGCCAGGACAGGAAAAGCTGGAATCAGTCAAACTCAGTGTGATGGCTCTACCCTGCCCCACAGATTCTCCCTCCTTCTTCCAAAGGGCAGGATTTCAGGGACCACTCACCAAGGTGCTCATATAGGTTTACTGGATTTAATTTCATGGAGGAAAGAAATTTCCTCCTAAACTTTGCCAGGTTGAGAGTCAAGTATGTTGTAGCCTGCTGCTCTGCACCTGTGGTCTTCCCCATCCCCTCTGGCACTGAGTGTGAGAGTTAGTTGTGGCCACACAGCCCAGCAAGGCAAGGGTTCTCCTATGAGCTAAGTCAAGCCCACCTAGACGTGGGTGTGTTGCTCCAGCTGGACAGGGCAATGGGCCATATGGTTGGAGTCCACAAAAGCTATAGAAGGATTTTTAAAGCATTTAAAATTATGGATAATTCCAAACCTTTGTAAAAGTAGATAGACTCATGTAATGAACCCCTTCATTCTTACCCCACCTAGTTTCAGCAATTATAACTCACAACAAATCTTGTATCATCAGTACCCCATTTCAACTGCTCCCCTGCACTGGGTTAGTTTGAAGGCAATTCCAACCATTGTGTTATTTCATCCACAATTTCTTCAGAATATTTGTCTAAATGATAAAACAAAACAAAATCTCTATGATCACCTTATGTGTGTCTGAGTAGGACTGTGCTCCATAGGGCTCTCAGTGACTGATTTTTCAAAAATAGATCACTAAGGCCTTTATCCAAGGCACCTCTAGGAGGACTTGAACTACCAGCCTTTTAATTAGTAGCCAAGTGGGTTAATGGGTTGCAGGGACTCCTCTCTAAATGATTAGGGCTCTTAGAAAGAAAATATCTACATCATTATCACACCTAAAAAATGAACCAGTAATACCCTAAAATCAACTGGAGTTTTTAATGCTGCTTCTATTTTTATTTTTTAACACCATCACCATTTTTTGATGACAAAGCTAAACTAAAATAGATATACCCATTGTCTGTCCATCCACCATACATAGACAGGCTCCCATGTGATTTCAGCTACTGCGTGTACATTTGGGTCTTGATCCCATTGTTGTTGTTGCTACGTGCCGTAGAGTCAGTTCCAACTCATAGCAACCCTTGTACAGGGTTTCCGAGGCTGTAAATCTTTATGGGAGCAGAAAGCCTCATCTTTCTCCCACAGAACAGCTGGTAGTTTCGTACTGCTGACCATGAGATTAGCAGCCTGATTCGTAACCACTACGCTACCAGAGCTCCTTTGATCCCATTAGAACCTAATATTATTTCATGAATTGGTGAGATCCTCAAAAAAAAAACAAAACAGAAGCGGATTGAATGTGAAAATAAGGCAGTGGCAGCTCCTAAGCTTCTCCATGGAAATGATGTACGGTTTTTATTTTGTTCAGCCCTTCACATGAGATATCACAGTAATGGGAGGGAAGGTCTGATAAAGACAGACCTGCCCTCCTCCCTGCTTCTGTGCCCACCCCTTTGGTGTGAGGGGAGGCCACGTGACACCCCAGTGCCCCAGACACAGCAGTCTGAAGAGAAAAAGGACAAAATTGGGCCCTCTTATGGCACCAAGTCACAGCAGTCTGCCGCTGAGAAAGATCTGAATGGACACAACCATGATTCCCATGCTGATTTGAATGGTTTTGATTTTCTAGTTTGACTTGTGTTTAATTTGCACACTTGTTTTAGTTTGAATTCTTTAGGACTTGCAAACATAGAGTGTTGGGGCTCACTTATGTTTGAGCCTATTTAAGTAGCTATTGTTGTTGTTAAGTGCTGTCAAGTTGGTTCTGACTCATAGTGACCCTGTATAGGGTTTCCAAGGAGCAGCTTGTGGGTTTGAACAGCGAACCTTGTGGCCACAGCAGGGGTCCAAGTACACATTAGGACCCTCTTTAAATCCTTATGTAAGTCTCCAGGTCACACAGATAGTTAACTCACTTGGCAGCTAAACAAAAGGTGAGAGGTTTGAGTCCACCCATAGATACACTGGAAGAAAAGTCTGGGATCTATTACCAAAAAAATCTATTATCATTGAAAACCTTATGGAGCACAGTTCTGTTCTAACACACATGGGGTTGCCACGAGTTGCAGTCAACTGGATAACAACAAGTTTATTATAAAAATAGTTTGATCCATGTTATGAGGCTGCAAGAAGTGCTTTTAAAAACATCTTTGTGAGAAACACCATTTTGAGGTATTCTTGCCTTTGAAATGCTAAATGTAGTCACATACCAAATAAGGCAGCTTCTATTCATGAACAGGGCACTGGGAGGCAGACCCACCTGGATTTACGCTGTCTCTGTCAGCCCCAGTCCAAGGCCCTGAGTGAGGCATTGATTTCCCATCTCTAAGGCCCTCATTCTCAAGGGGAAAGTGGAGACAGCTCTTCCCCCCGCCCCAAAGTTGTCATAAGAGTTAAACAGTGGATGAGAAAGTGCTTGGAACATAAAGAAAGAATAATTAAACCTTCCATCTAAGAATCAACTGAACAACTGTCCATCATGCATTTTCCTTTCTGAACACACACCCAGCTGTGTCTGGGCAAACAGGAGTTCTGTGTAAGAGTCAGGAGGAAGTGAGTAGGGGCAGGGTTTAGGCTGGCAGAGTGACTGCATTTGTGAACACATCCATGAAAGGGCCTCTGTGTGGCAGGCGAGACTGCAGACACCCTCCTGGCGCTGCGCTACTGCAAGGACCGTCGGGCTCTGACTGTGGGCGTCACCAACACCGTGGGCAGTTCCATCTCCCGGGAGACTGACTGTGGCGTGCACATCAACGCGGGCCCAGAGATCGGGGTTGCGAGCACCAAGGTAGAAGGAGCTGTGTGGGGGAGGAGAGTCCACAAGACTGAAGGGTGCTCTACCTGGCGCCCTCTCCCACAACCATGATGATGTGGTCACTCATGTCCCCCCACCTGCTTTCATCATCTCCCTTTTGTCCACAGGCTTATACCAGTCAGTTTATCTCTCTGGTGATGTTTGGTTTGATGATGTCTGAAGACCGAATTTCATTACAAAACAGAAGACAAGAGATCATCCGTGGCTTGAGATCTTTACCTGGTATGTCTAAGAGCAAAACCTGCCTTATTTTTAAATACAATGGACTGTTTTTGGCCTGTCTCTTCCTTGCCCCTGCCTGTAACCTGCAACCAGTGTTATTAATCGCTCCCTCTGCCTTCAAGCTTCCTAAAATAAACCAGTTGCCATGAAGTTGACTCAGACTCATGGACCCCCATTGTGTGTCAGAATAGAACTATGTTCCATAGGGTCTTCAATGGCTAGTCTTTTGGAAGTAGACCACCAAGCCTAACTTCTGAGATGCCTGTGTGTAGACTCATACCTCCAGGCTTTTGGTTAGCAGCTGAATGTATTAAGCCATTCGTACCATTAAAGGACTCCTCAAACTTTCTACTCACCACTAAATCCTTCCAGCAACTTCTATTCCACTAGATGAGCATCCACACTCCTCACTAGGCTGTACACACTGAGACACTGGGTCCTCTGTCCTCATAACATTTCCTTCCCCGCCTTGGGCAGTAGCCCTCACTAGTTCTGTACAACTCCAACCTCTTTCCCATAGTAGAGCCTTTGCCCTGGCTTTTTGCTCTGCTGAAACCCTCCTCCTCCAGCCCTGCACACTGACTGTTCTTCATCATCCAGACCTCAACTTAGATGTCTGGATCCTTTTCTGGTCACCCTAACTCACAGAAGCCCCAACCTAGTGCTCTCTGAAACATCAGCCTGTTTATTTTCTTTATAGCACATACCACAGTCTGAATTATCTGTTGATCTGTTTACTGGCTTGTCTCTCCCATCTGACATCAACTCAGTGAGCTCAGGGCCTTATCCGTCAGAGTCACTGCTTGGTGCACAGGGAAGGCAATAGATCCATACTCAGAGGGAGCAAGTGGCCCGGGGTCAGTTCCTGTACAGACTGCTCCTTTACACCCCCACCAACTTTTCCCCTACTGCTGGACAGTCCCATCTGTTGTAGTTAATGAGATACAATGTCTTTCCATTAAATCATGAACTCCTTGGGGGCAGAGACCATGTCCTCATTCATTCATTCGCTCATCGCATGTGTTAAAGAACAGTGTCCTGTGCAGCAATCACTTGCACTCTGGGGAAAGAAAGAGATGTCTTGAGTTTTTGTGTGTGACATTAAACAAAGCAGCGACAAACCCAGGGAAAGTACAGGAAATGCCTGGGAACTGTAAAAATGCTCAACACAAGGCCTAGGGGTCTGACTCTGGCAGCGAAAACATGTTTAAAATGTAGTGAAGAAATAATAAAACAAAACATTCTCACTTTAAGCCAAGTAATGTTTTTGTTGTTGTTAGGTTCTGACAAGTGGATTTTCGACTCATAGTGACCCAATGTAGCAGAGTAGAATTGCTCCATAGGGTTTTCTAGGCTACACAGCCAGAATGTTCCTTTGAAGCCAGAGTGGAGAGACTTTGTCTCCTGTACTTTGGACATGTTATCAGGAGGGATAAGTCCCTGGAGCAGGACATGAAGCTTGATAAAGTAGAGGGTCAACAAAAAAAGAATACCCTCAAGGAGACGGAGCTGCAATAATGGACTCAAACTTAATAACGATTGTGAGAATGGTATATAGCGCCGGGCAGTGTTTTGTTCTGTTGTACATAGGGTCACAATGATTTGGAACTGACAGGACAGCACCTAACCACAACAATAACAATCTTCATGGGAGCAGCTGGCAAAATCTGCCAAAAAAAAAAAAAGGAAAGGGGCTGAGAGATGAGGTGATGGCTTTGTTCTGATATCTAAGTAAATTCTCAAGCTGTGGTTGACAGATCCTCAGTCCACCAGACCTTTTAATTCAAGCCAAAGCATTTCATAGTAATATATGAATAAATGTTTTTTTGTCTTTTCCACTGTGTTTGGCATTTGTGAAAGTGGGTGGTGGTAGTACTGTGCTGTGGAGTCACTTCCGACTTATAGCAACCTTGCATAGTGTTTCCACAGCTGTAAATCTTCACAGGAGCAGGAAGCCTCATCTTTCTCCCATGGAACTGCAGGTAGCTTCAGATTGCTAATCTTGAGGTTAGCAGCCTGACTCGTAACCATTACACTACCAGAGGACCTTAAGATGGCAGCAAAACTGGCACTTTCCGCATAAAGCAGGCAGGAGCAAGAGCTCAGACTCTTCTAGCCGTCATTGTATCCTTTGCCACCACATACTGGACCCTGGCTTAAGAATGGCCTTGATGGTGTACTGAAAATTGCTGATCTTATTCAACTGCAATACTTTTCATAGCCTGTGTGACAAAATGCAAGTGTGCCTCAAGCACAATGGCTCTTTCGAGGAAGAGCAGAATGACAAATGCTTGAGTAGCAGGCTAATTTGATATTTGCCACAAACACTTTCTCACAATGAACACAATTAACCCACGACTTCAGGAAAAACAGCTGACAGCATTTGCTGCCAGTGATGACATTTGAACAAACTCATACAACTGAAAAGTTTGAAAATGAGTATCTGCTATCACAAAACATGATCACTTCCCAGCACTTAAACATGAAACCTTATCATGAGATGTGGGTGAGTTTAACACATATGTTTTGTGTGTTGTTGTTGTTGGTTTTTTTTTAAGATGTTTAATAATGAAATGTGTCAGCATTTAGAAGATGTACAATTGAATTCAGTGGGATCAACATTTTCGCAAATGATACATTGTTACAAATTCATGCACACATAAAAGATCTGTGTAAAGTGCACAACTGACCACAGAAACATTTTAATGTAACAAATAGGAAGCATTCAGATAAGAATTCAGCAATGACCGTTTAAGAAGCTTCCACTCCTTGAGCTTGTTACTGTTAAGTGCTGTCGAATGGGCTCCGACTCCTAGCGGCCCTGTATGGGGTTTCTGAGGAGTGGCTGGTGAGTTTGAACTACCAGTCTTGTGTCCAGTGCATTATCCTGCAGTGCCACACCAGAACTCCAAAGAACAGTCACGATTATTTGAAAGATTTATTTACTACTAAAGTCAAAAGAATGTCACCACAACATGAATGCAAAAGCTGATATGCAAATCTAACATCTTTTTTTAGCCATGCATTTAAAAGATTTGCAAATATGTAAAATGATGTTATTTTTTTCACTCACTTTTTTTTTTTTTTACAAAATATTGTGATGTAGTAGGTTTATGATTGTTATATTTAAATGAACTTTTTTTTTATTATCAGTATTATTTTCTTATATGGTAAATATTGATAGATGTAACCTACACAAAATAAGCTCTTAGGGATGCTCAATAATTTTGTTTGAGATCCACTGGTCCAAGTTCCAATGGCTTTGTTATGAGGTGCAGCATGTGGCAATGAAGAGAGCAAGTAATTTGGAACGTCACCTCTGTGGCTTGCTGGCTGGTGATTTGACCTCTCTGTGCCTTAGTTACCTTACCTGTAAAATGGAGCTAGAAATAATACTTCCCTGACTACCTTTTGGGTACTTAGGAAAGTATTAACACAACTATGATTCACTCTCCCAGCAAAATCCTATCCAGTAACCCAATATAAGTTTAAAAGTTATATAAGTTTAAAACTTATAAAGTTTAAAACCTTTGAACTAATGCAAGGAAGCAGAGTTCAATACATGAGATGCGTTTCAAAACCTTGCTTTATGCCCTGTGTTTTGCTTATGAATAGCTTTTTTTAAACTGAAATGCCTGACCCTTCCTCTCTCCTGTGTGCATACTTTAGAGCTGATCAAAGAAGTGCTGTCGCTGGATGAGAAGATCCGAGACCTGGCCCTGGAGCTCTACACACAGAGGTCTCTCCTGGTGATGGGGCGTGGCTATAACTATGCCACTTGCCTGGAAGGAGCCCTGGTAAGTGCCCTTCTGCCTAACACCCCACCTCTACCACTCCTGTTCAGCCCCTGGTCAACCAGAAATCAGAGCAGGGCATTAAGATTGCAGAGAAGGATTAAAGACCCATGGTAACTAGGGTGAGCCTGCATCGAGTGTTAGCTCCTGGCTATGCAATTTTATCCTTGGGAACATAGAGATAGGTGAGGCAGGTGCCTGCCCACATAGAGTTCCCAAGAATCTGGGGAGAATCGGGCAAGGGTACCCTTGGGTGAGCCCCTTGAGTGATCATACCTGTGCCAGGCTCTATCTGGGATAGTTCATTCATACTTCATGGCTATCTCCTTAGAGGTTGGCAGTTATTGTTCATGTTTTAGCCAGGAGGAAAGTCTCAGAAAAGTAAAGCAATTTGCTCAAGATTACACAAAAAAGAAGTGATTGGGGCTGAGATTTAAACTCAGATCCATGTGGCCTCCACCTTTGCTTTTTTCCCACAATTTCCAGCAAACTGTGTGGAAGGCTTAGTATTTATGGGTCAGAATCAGAGACAGATTACCCAGTACACTTTACTGGGTATTCCATCCTTGTCAAGAGCTGTAAATTTGAAGTGGCTTTGATTCTGTATGGAAGTACTGTGGAGTTGGGAGAGAGGCAGATGCCAGTCATACCTCGCAGCAAAATAATTGATACGGTTAAAAAAAAAAAAAAAGTGAAATTATTCACCACAGATTAGTAAGTAACACAAGTAAGCCCATGCTTACATTGCTAATTGGTAAAAGGGAAGAAATTTCTACAGGTAAAAAGGAAGCTGAGTTACAGTGAAACAACATTCAGTATCAAGAGCAGGCATCATCCCTTATCCAGTTTGGCTTTCCTCTCTCCTGTGGGAAGACGTGGCCATTTCTTTCCCACCACCTCATCCAAAGCAAGAACATTGGTTGCATTGTGAGCTGTTCACAAGACTCATTCAGAAAATATTACATCTGACTTGAGTGCAGCCCTGAGTTATTGAACCTCACTGAGCTTCAACTTCAGACCCATAAAATTGATGTTCTGATTCCTGCCAAAAGAAGCAAGGGACTGACTCTATGTGCACATTCCTTCCTCTGACAATCCTGCTGGCTAAGGGGCTGAGTGTGTTGAATGAGTGCATGGATGAAAGATACAGCTTCAACTATGCTTCCAGCTTCACCTCCGGGGAAAAAAAGATGTATTTATGGAGCAGCTGGCACAAATCAGTGGCCCCATCGGCCTGTACCCTCTACTGCCTACAGTGTACAGTGTCCATGGTCTTTACCATGTCTCCCTAGGGCATGTTCAGTAGATCCTTCCAGGGAAGTTGAGAAATATCTTCTTCAACCCACTCACCAGTGAAATGACAAGCGTTTTTTTGGCAACTGCATATAAATGGAGCTATCGGAACAGATTCAAATAGCAGCTTAATGTGTGTGATAATTACTTGGAGCAGCCCTTTTAGACACTATTAATTATCTACAATTGGAGGAATGATGGATAAAATTATTAAATGATCTATATCTAAATAGAATGCAATTTGACCATTATCATTTATAACTATGGAGAGGCCATGTGGCTGGCTGCAGAGGGAGAAAGGCAGAGAGGTAACAGAGGAAGCTAGATCAACACCAACATGCCCCTCCAAGCAGGGCAGGGGCCTGGGCACAGAGTCTGCATGCTGGCCTTTGTGTGCCCTGATCTTGCCAGGTGCCCTTGGTCCATCCAGCTGCCTTGCGACCAGAGTGATCACCAGCCTTGCCTTCCGGAGTAACCTGCCACTCCAGCAATTCTTCTCCAGCCTCCTTATCTACCCATTGTGACTCTGACCCTACCTCTTATTTCCCAGAAAATTAAAGAGATCACCTACATGCACTCCGAAGGTATCTTGGCTGGGGAGCTGAAACACGGGCCCCTTGCACTGATTGACAAGCAGATGCCTGTAATCATGGTCATCATGAAGGACCCTTGCTTTGCCAAGTGCCAGAATGCCCTACAGCAAGTCACTGCCCGCCAGGTGAGTGCTCTCAGCAGGGCAAAACCTTCTGTCTCTTCCATTATGTACACCTTACCCAGTGTCTTCCAGGCCCCCATGATCTCTCCTAAGCTCCTTGATAAGTAGGGCACACATTTGAAAGAGGTCTGGCCAGCCTACAGCCACATCCACCACAGCTCCTCACTGAGGCCCAGTCTGCCTTGAGCTACACTGGATCCTAGGAGAACAGATCTGAAGTACTTATGGGGAAGACCTCTGAGGACAGTGTTTTTCCCAGGGCCACCTGAGGTAGGAGGACTTATGACATTACCAATAAACAAGTTGCCATTGAATCTATTCCAACTCATGGTGGCCCTGGTGTGTCAGAGTACATCTGTATTTCATAGGTTTTTCAATCACTGATTTTTCAGAGTAGATTACCAGAACCTTTCTTCTGAGGCTTTTCTGGGTGAATTCGATCCACCAACCTTTTGGCCCGTAGTGGAGCGCATTAACTGTTTGTGTCACCCAGGAATTCCCATGACATTACAAAGAAGAACCCGCCAATAATGTACTCAGTGCTACCACATCTGCCTCATCATGATGACCAGAGAGATGTTTTATATATATATATATAAAGCAGTCATAGAAATGCAAACTGAAATTTACATACCAATATACAATTCAGTATTATGTACAATATATCCAAAAAGTGGAAAGAATTCAAGTATCCATGATGGTATAAACCAATATACAATATATAATTACATACCAATATACAATTCAGTATTATGTACAATATATCCAAAAAGTGGAAAGAATTCAAGTATCCATGATGGTATAAACAAGATGTAGTTGTATCACCATAAAATGGAATGTTGTTGTTTTTAAGTGCCATTGAATCGGTTCTGACCCATGGCAACCCTGTAGAGGGTTTCCAAAGAGTGACTGGTGAGCTTGAACCACCAACCTTACAGTTCAAACCAACTTTGCAACCTAGCACATTAACCCACACCACCACAGAAATGAAGTCCTAATACATACTATAACATATCATCATAAAAACATGTATATGAAATAGGCAAATATAGTTAGTGGTTACCAGGGGTAGGAGGGAAGGAAGAAAGAGGAGTCATAGTACTGAGCTTCTGTTAACAGTGGTGGAATAATCTGGAAATTAATATTGATGCAGTTACACAACTAATGTCATTGATTAGATGAACACAACCAATGTCATTGAATGGTACATGTAAAACTTGTTGAATTGGCAAATACATATATATGGTGGTGGTTATGTGCTGAGAAGTTGGTTCTAACTCATAATGACCCTGTACGGGGTATCCGAGGCTATAAATCTTTACGGGAGCACAAAGCCTCATCTTTCTCCTGTGGAGCAACTTGTAGATTCTAACTGCTGACCTTGTGGTTAGCAGCTCAGCTCATAATTCATTATGTTACCAGAGCTTCTTATATATATATGCATACATAGATAGATAGGTAGGTAGGTAGGTAGGTAGGTAGGTAGATAGATAGATAGATAGATAGATAGATAGATAGATAGATAGATAGATAGATAGATAGATAGGATAGATTAGATAGATAGATAGACAGACAGACAGACATTGTTGAGTGCTGTCTAGTCAGTTCTAACTCATAGTGACCCTGTATATAGTTTCCAAGGAGCAGACCTTGTGGTTAGCTGTCCAATGCTTATCTGACAGCACCACACCAGGAGTCTATATGTGTGTATATATAAACAAAGCATATATACATAATTATGTCACCCCCAATGGCTTCACCTCAAACACTACAGTGACCCACAAAAAAATCCATGCCATCAAGTCAATTCTCACTCATGGTACCTCATGTGTGTAGAGTAGAACTGCACTCTGTATGTAGTAACACTCAAGTCCTATGTTATCTGCCCCTTCTACCTGCCTCACTGAGCTCCAGCCAGCCAGCCTTCTTTCTGTACCTCACACACACCAAGCTCATTCCATCCTTGGAGACTTTGCTTGCATTGGCTATTCCCTGTTTCTGGAAGGAGAGTCCTGCAGATCTTCAGAGAGCTGGTTTCTTTACACTAGGGTCTCAGACCTCACCAATCTCTCCCAATCAGAGTCACCTCTTATTTTTGTTGTTGTTAGGTACCATTGAGTCAGTACCGACTCATAGCACCCCTGTGCACAACAGAATGAAACACTGCCCAGTGCTGGGCCAACCTCACAATTGTTGCCACACTTTTGATGCTGCCATTTTGCCAATCCATCTCACTGGGGGTCTTTCTCTTTTTCTGTGACCCTCCATGCTACGAAACATATCCTTCTCCAGCGACTGGTCCCTCATGACAATATATCTGACGTATGAGAGATGAAGTTTGGCTATCCTGGCCTCCAAGAAACACTCTGGCTGCACTTCTTCCAACACAGATCTGTTGGTTCTTTTGGCAGTCCATGGCACTTTCAATATTCTCCTCCAACACCATAAATCAAAAGCACCAATTCTTCTACGGTCTTCCTTATTCACTGTCCAGCTTTCACATGTATATGATGTTATTGAAAATACCATGGCTTGGGTCAGGCACACCTTAGTCCTCAAGCTGACATCTTTGCTCTTCAACATTTTAAACACATCTTATAGTGCCTTCAAAATATGTATCTGAAATTCAACTTTTCTTTTGGGTTTGCCAGTTTGTGTTTTTGCTTTCCACCACTAGACTAGGAGCCCCACTAGATATTAGAGTGAGGAGTGAGTCTGCATAGCCTTTTGTAAATCATGTTGTCGCCTCTCAATAAATGGACAGTGAATGAAAGCAGCAGTATGGTTATCACCTTACCAGAAAAGGGGAGAGTTCACCGAAAAAGCACCAATGATGGACACTGAGCTTCATGTGAAGTCATATACCTCATCTCACTCACAATGCCAGCAAAACAGGAGATTATTGTTTGCCATAACATTGATTTTAGACACACATCACTTTGGGTGATAACTGCTTTTTTCAGAGACAAGTTATGTTATATGATCATATTTCTCTGCTTTAGGGTCGCCCAATTATCCTGTGTTCCAAAGATGACACGGAAAGCTCCAAGTTTGCATATAAAACCATCGAGCTGCCCCACACCGTGGACTGCCTCCAGGGCATCTTGAGCGTCATTCCACTCCAGCTCCTCTCCTTCCACCTGGCTGTTCTCCGAGGATATGATGTATGTCTTTAAAAATGTACCTACTGAAGCAAGCAGGAGAAATATAATCCTATCTTGGTTTGCTAGTGCTGTCTAACAAAAATTACCACAAGTCAGTAGCTTTAAAGAACAGAAAAATATTTTCTCACAGTTGAAGCTAGAAGTCCAAATGTAGGGCAAAGCTCTAAGAGAAGGTCCTTCTGCATCTATTTCACCACCTAGTGCTGTTGTGTTGTTAGGTGCTGTTGAGTCAGTTCCAACTCATAGCAACCCTATTCACCACAGAATGAAATACTGCCCCGTCTTGCACCATCCTCACAACTGTTAATGTTTGAGCTCATTACTGTGGCCACTGTATCAATCCATCTCCTTGTGGGGGGGGGTGTGTGTGTGTCTTCTTTTTCACTGACCCTCCACTTTACCAAGCATGATGTCCTTCTCCAGGTGTCTAGTCCCTCCTGATAACAGATCCAAAGTATGAGAGATGAGGTCTCGCCGTTCTTCCTTCTAAGGATATTCTGGCTGTATTTCTTCCAACCCAGATTTGTTTGTTGTTCTAGCAGTCCATGGAACTCTCAATATTCTTCTGAAACACCATAATTCAAATGCTTCAGTTGTCTTATGTTCTTCCTTATTCTTTGTCCAAGTTTAACATATGAAGCAACTGAAAATACCTTGGCTTGGGTCAGGAGCATCTTAGTCCTCAAACTGATATCTTTGCTCTTGTGCACTTAAAGAGGTCTTTTGCAGCAGATTTGCCTAATGCAAATAGCATTTGATTTCTTGACTACTGCTTCCATGAGTGTTGATTGTGGATCCAGGCAAAATGAAGTCTTTGACATCTTCAGTCTCTTTTCCATTTATCATGATGTTATTTATTGGTCCAATTGTGAGGATTGTTGTTTTCTTTACATTGAGGTGGAATACATACTGAAAGCTGAGCTCTTTGATCTTAATCAGTAAGCATTTTAAGTCTTATTCACTTCCAGCAAGCAAGGTTATATTATTTGCATATCACAGGTGTTAATGAGTCTTCCTCCAGTCCTCATGCCATGTTCTTCTTCATATAATCCATTTTTGGATTATTTACTCAACATACAGATTGAATAAGTATTGCAAAAGGATACAACCTTGGCACACACCTCACCTGATTTTAAACCATGCAATATCCCCTTGTTCTGTTCTAATAACTGTCTTTTGATCTATGTGTAGGTTCCTCATGAACACAAGTGTTCTGGAATACCCATTCTTTGCAATGTTATCCATAGTTGGTTATGATTCACATAGTCAAAAGCCTTTGCATTGTCAAACATCTTTCTAGTATTCTCTGCTTTCAGCCAAGATCCATGCGACATCAGCAGTGATAACACTCATTCTTCCCTTTCTTCTGAAACCAGCTTGAATTTCCGGCAGTTCCTTGTCAATGTATAGTTACAACCATTTTTTAATTATCTTCAGCAAAATTTACTTGCATGTGATATTAATGATATTGTTCTATGATTTCTGCATCCCATTGGAATGGGCACAAACATGGATCTCTTCCAATCAGTTAGCCAGAGAACTCTCTTCCTAATTTCTTAGCATAGATGAATGAGGACCTCCAGTGCTGCATCAGTTTGTTAAAATATTTTAATCTGTAGTCCATCAATTTCTGGAATTGCTTTTTACAACGTCTTCAATGCAGCTTGGACTTCTTCCTTAAGTACCATAGGTTCATGATCGTATGCTACCTCTTGAAATGGTTGAACATTGACCATTTCTTTTTGGTGCAGTGACTCTGTGTATTCCTTCCATCTTCTTTTGATGCTTTCCGAATAATTCAGTATTGTTGTTAAGTGCCGTCAAGTCAGTTCTGACTCAGAGCGACCCTGTATATATTGAGTTTCCAACAAGCAGCTGGTGATTTTGAACAACCACCTTTATTGCCAGTCAGGATTTTAATTTTTTCCTCATTTCTTTCAGCTTGAAAAATGCTGAACGTGTGATCTTCCCTTTCGGTTTTCTAACTCCAGTTTTTTGCACATTTTGTCTTCTTGAGATAACCTTTGAAATTTTCTGTTAGGCTGTTTTACTTCCTCATTTATTACAGTTTCTTTAGCGTCTCTAAACTCAAGAGCAAGTTTCAGAGACTCTTCTGACATTCATTTTGATCTTTTCTTTCTAATTACTTTTTGCTTTCTTCCAATATGTTTTTGATGTTGTCCCACAATTCTCCTGGTCATCAGTCATTAGTGTCTAATGAATCAAATTTGTTCTTGAGATGGTTTTCAGTTTCAGGTGGGGTTATGTTCAAGGTCATATTTTGGCTCTTGTGGACTTGTTTTAACTTTCTTCAGCTTCCTCTTGACCTTGCATATCGGCAATTGATGGTCTATTTCGTAGTCTGCTTCTGGCCTTATTTTGGCTAATGATGTTGAGTTTCTCTACTGTCTTTTCCCACAGTTTGTTCCCTGCATATTCCATCTGGTAGGTCCACGTATAGTCTCCTTTTATATTGTTGAAAAAAGTATTTGCAATGAATAAATCATTGGTCTTAAAAATGCTATCATGGGATTTCTATGATCATTTCTATCACCAAAGATATGTTTTCCAACTACTGATGTTTTCTTGTTGTTTCTATATTCGTATTACAATCCTCAGTAATTATCAGTGCATCTTGATTGCATGTTTGATCAATTTCACACTGAAGAAGTTGGTAGAATTCCTTAGTTTCATCGTCACTGGCTTTAGTGATTGGAGCATAAATTTTGAATAGTAGTTGTATTAACTGGTCTTACTTATAGGCATGTAGATATTATCCTATCACAGACAGCATATTAATATAGATCTTGAAATGTTCTTCTTGATGATGCATGTAATATCATTCCTCTTGAATTTATTATACCCAGCAAAGTAAAAATATGATTGTCTGATTCAAAATGGCCAATACCAGTCCATTTTAACTCACTAATGCCTAGAATATCTTATCTTTATGGGTTCTATTTCATTTTTTACAACTTCCAATTTTCATACTTTGTATATTTCATGTTCTGATTGTTAATGGATGTTTACAGGTGTTTATCCTCTTTTTGAGTTGTGCCCTAGTAACCACCAGCATGTAGTAGCTGCCAGCAATCCCTTGAGCTCCTGGGCTTAGAGATGCTTCTGCTATATATGTCTGTCTTCATATGATGCTGTCCCCCCTGATTGTCTCTGTATGTATTCTCTGATCATAACTCAAAAGTGATTACATTTAGGACCCACTCTACTCAAGTAGGACCTGATTGCAATAACAAGGAAAACTTTATTTCCATATAGGATCACATCCATAGGTGTAAGGGTCAGACTTCAATATATTCTTTTGTAAGGAGGGACACAATTCAATTCATAACAAACTCCAAAATGCCTTTTTGTCCTTTAAGTACTTATTTGATGTACTTAATATTCTAGGAGACATAATTTAATTTAAAATAATTTTCTTCTTAAAAATTATTTTGAAATGAATAAAGATAATATTAAACTGTAGCCTTCACATGCAGAAGGGAATGTTAATAGAAAACTTGTACCTTATTCCAGTCTTTTTTCTGTGTAAATTCATTTCTAACATTTCCAATATTATATCAAGCATTTTTCTCCCTTCTTTAAAAACTTGTAAGCAATATGTAATTGTTGCATAAGATTCTATTATGTTTTTATAATATGAATTCTCATAATAATTATTTAACCATTCTTCTGATTTTTAAGCTGTTATTAGGTTTTTTGCTTTTATAAACAACACTGCAGGGAACAACTTTGTACATATATCATTGTCCCATGTTTAAGCTTCTCCTTATTTGAGGCTTCTAAAATATATTGACAAATAAATTATTTTCCAGAAAAACAAACAACAAAACAATTTATGATCTCCCCAGGAAGTACATAAGAACACACCATTCATTGAACAAAGAAATGAAAGTTTAGTTTCAATGCAATTTTATTTTGAGAAGCTTTTTAAAATATATAACAATACAAAGGAATGTCAAAAATATTGCAACTAGAATTCCAGTTCATACAACAATTTTTATTCTAAACAAAATATGTTTAAACATGTTTCTGCAATCAGTGGATGACTGCAGACTTCTCTAAGTAATACACTTGTCTTAGTCTCATTAACCTTCCAAAAACTGGTCTATTCAAAACTGTGGTTTCCAAAGGAATCTGCAGGACCTGTTAAATTCAATGCAGAGACATCAGTTCAGTTCAGAGACTTGGGATTCCCAAGGGGTAATCTTGGTAGATTTTCCTCAAAGGTCACAGGATGATCATGGGGACTTATTAGGAAGAAGGTTTAAGAGAATTGAAAGCTGCATTGTGGAGAAAAAGGCCCAGGTAATTTGCGGCAAGTAATTTTTTTCCCTCAAGGCAATGTACCTGCCTTCTCATTATCCCAGAGTAGCAAGGGCTGTCCTATTAGAATTTCATTGGAAAACCTTATCCTCTCCAACCTACCGCCCTGATCTTGCTCCTTCAGACTTCCTTTTGTTCCTCAAATTCAAAGACCATTTAAAAAGAACATGATTTGAATGCCTCAAGGATGCCCAAACTGTCCTTTTGTTGTGGTATAAATCGAAGCCTACAGAAGAGTGTATAAACCTAGATGGAGAATATATGAGAAACAATAGATTCACATTGTGATATTTTTGTTTAATCAAGGTTTCTATGAATTTGTAGCAATACTTTTTTACTTGCCCTCATAGAAAGAATAATATAGCAATCAACTGATGAACATATTATTCAGAATTGGCATTAACTAACATTTTGCCATATTTGTTTCCTCTTAAAAAAAATTCATTGAGATAAAAAGTGTATATGTTGTATATATATTGGAACAAAATTGCCATTTTAAATATCTCCATGTATATAATTCAGTGATACTAATTACACATTCACCATGTTATATAACCACGATCTATCTCCAAAAGCTTTTCATCATCCCAAACAAACCCAGCAGCACCCCTTAAGGAATAATTCCCCACTAAGTGGGATCATATATTTGTCTTTTTTACCTGACTTATTTCCCACATCATAATGTTTTCAAGGTACATCCAGATGATAGCATATATCAGGGCTTCATTCTCTGTGACTCAATACACTGAATGTGTGTACCATATTTTGTTATTACTTTCTTCTGTTGATGGACATCTGACGAGTTTTCTTTTCACCATTCCTTAACATATAAGCAAAATAAGACATTCCAGATAAAACTGAAGCCCACTTCCTCATTTATTCTTTGTCACATTTCCTTGCTAACCCCTTCCTAAAGTTATAGGTCTATATGGATCTAATGAATATCCTTCCAAAAATAGTGAATTTTTCTGGAACAAATTGAGTCAGCTGATTTTAAAAGCTAAACATATTATTTTAATAGTACTAACATGGTATGCAAAGAGTCCTGGTAGTGCAGTAAGGTAAGCACTGGTTTGTGTTGAAGGTCAGTGATTTGAACCTACCATCTGCTTCACAGGTGAAAGATGAGGCCGTCTGCTTCCATATAGATTTACAGTCTCAGAAAGCCTATGGAACAGTTGCTATAAGTCATGGTATGTTGTTAAGTGCCGTCGAGTCGGTTCCAACTCATAGTGACCCTTTATGGGGTTTTTGAGAAGTGAATGTTGAGCTTGAACCACCAACCTTGCAGTAAAAATCAACCTTGCAGTCCAGTACATTAACCCACAGTGCCACCCAGGACTCAATTTGGAATTGACTCGATGGCAGTGAGTAATAGCATGACATAGGTCAGGTAAACAATAAGTGTTTATTGAATTACTTAAGCATTACACTGGTAAGTGTAGCTTCCTGAGTCAGGAACCTGCTTCTAATATTCAGGTCTCAAGGTGCTGATGGTACTAGGTGACCAGGGACATCTGCTCTTTATTCTCAAGTACTTTGATAATAGACTTTAAGAGACAGCAAATTGCTAAGATCTGTGGGGCTCTGACAGCTGTTTACTTTCATTTTAGGTTGACTTCCCCAGAAATTTGGCCAAATCTGTGACTGTGGAATGAGACGGGAGAATGAAGAGACCATCACCACATTTAGTCTGAGTCAAGTTCTGTACCAAGGGCAAGGGTGCCAGTGGGAAGAGAAGTGGGCATTCTGCGTGTTCCAAGTATGATATCCTGTAGAGCTTGACAGCTTCGACGTGCCTTGTACCCAAGTGCTTTTGCTACAGCAAATAACTGTTTCTCTGTGTCTGAAGTTGCCAGAGGAGAAGGGAATCATTGTTTACACATGGGGATCACAGCGGATTTTTTCCACTACTGTGCAATAGAAATTCAGCTCTCTTCAGAGTAACTGTGAACCTTTTTTTAACCAACACTAGTTAGTTTTAAAAGACAAAATATTTATAAGGACAATTGTATAGCTTTTAAGTTATTTTTTTAGTATGTGGCTGTAGCCATAGAAATGCCCAGACTGTGTCTCCCGGCCAGCCAATGTGCCATCTTGGGGATCACTTCTGGCAATGGCATTCATCTCAGATTTGAGCACAAGGCATTGACCGACCCTCTAGATGCCTTTCTACTTTCCCTTCTTCTCTAGGCTGCTCCTGAATCCCATCTCCTGACATCACTGAAGACTCCCCCTTTCTGCCTCTTCTAAATCCTATTAAAATCTCAACATCCTTCAACATTTTTTTCTCTTCTATGGCCAAAGCCCCTCCAACTCTCCAACTTCTGCTTAGTCTGATCCTAGTTCTTTTTAAGCCAAAGCAGCGTTTTGGTCCCTGCTCCTGCTCATAGTAAAACAGCGTGAAATATACTGTGCAAGAGAATATTTTCAAGTGGGTTACCTTGCTTTCTATTTAAAAGCGTGCACAATCAGAGTACTATGCAATTTAAAGACAATAAAGACTACATTTTTTTTTTTCCATCTTGTGTGTTTGGATTTTGTTAGTCTCTTTCTTTTTATAGACTTGGGCTTTGGGGGTTTTGCAGGAGCTCAACAGTATGTGCTGGAAGTAGCCACTGACACTTGTCTACATATTTGTGGCCTGCATGCATGAGTTGAAAATAAGGACGGTTGTAAAGGAAACAACAATATGCAGGAGACCAACATGTAGGGCTCTCAATTGAGGGATCATTGTACAAGATGGTGGAGGACTTGGGCCATGTGATTCTGCTTGAGATGGTTTCCCAGAGCCTAAAGGTAGCATAGGTGTGAACATCTTAAATTTGCAGCCTTTTTTTTTTTTTCAACGATCCTCTTATAGTTACCAATTTTATTAATACAACTGGGCTGGAAGGAAGAAAGCCAGAAACAGAAGGTTTATGAGGTCAGAGGAGTCCTGGTGTGGTGCTGTGGGTTAATGCTCTGAACTGCAAAGTCAGTTTGAATTACAAGGTTACTAGCTGCTTCTTGGAAACCCTATAAAGGGTCATTATAGGTTGGACCCAACTCGATGGCACTTAACAACACCACCAACAACAGTGAGAAGCCCTAGTGATGTAGTGTTTAAGCACTTCTATGATAACCAAAAAGTTGGTAATTGAAACCCACCAGCTTCTCTGTGGAAGAAAGCTATAGAAATCTGCTAAAGATGTGGCAGACTGCTTCTATGAAGATTGTTGTTAAGTGCCAAGTTGATTTCAACCCATAGCAGCCCTGTATAGGGTTTATGAGAGCAGCTGGTAAGCTTCAACCAACAACCTTGCAATTTAAACCAACTTTGCAGTCCGGCACATTAACCCATAGCACCACACCAGGACTCCTCTGCCTTGGAAATCCCAACAGGCAGGTCTAGTCTGCCCTGTAGGGTTACTATGAGTATAAGAGGTAAATACTACTACACACACAACAAAAAACACTGTACAAATGATTAACGTACTCATATGCAAGCTGAAGATGAATAGTTGGTGGTTCAAGTTCATCCAGAGCACCTCGGAAGACAGGCCTGGTAAAGAACTTCCAAAATAAATCAGCCATTGAAAACCCTCAGGAACATAACACTGACACACATGGGGCTGTCCTGAGTCAAGGTCAACTAAGCAGCAATTGGTCATTTGTTTGTTTGAATGCAAATACAACTATAAAGAATTCTCATGAATGGTATCTTCATGACATCTTCATGATAACTACGTGGTTAGGTATAGCTTGAATATCTCATTAAAACTCTGTGCTAAGCAAACCCCCTTCCAAGACTAAGACTCAACGGGAATACACGCTCTGATTGGTGATCACGTTCATCACTGATAAGGGGAAATGAGGGAAAAACAGCAATGAAGCTGCAAGCTAAACCCTACAATGTTTAATAGACTCCTGTGAACCCGGGTGGAGACCTGGTGGGCCAGCAGTGTGGCAAGACCTGGAGACTCTTGGGCCCTGAGTCAGTGACATAGCCACAGAGGGAGGACTAGAGTGGAGAGTGAAGCGTCCAGCTGATAAGAAGAGAGGGCATATGCACAAGAACACCCACACTTGCAGATAATACCCACTGGACCTGGCTTCAATGACTGGATGATCAGAGCTCAACTAGAAGAAGAAAGAAGAGGAAAAAAAGAGTAATCTGATACAATTTGATGAACTTGACCTACACCTATGGATGCAGTAGCTCAAAAGAGGGAACAAATCTTTACAGCAAGGATCATTCCCACCCCCTCCATACACAGAGTAGATAGGGATGGGCAACTTGGACATTGGCTACCCAAAATGGCGCGGGGGGTGGGGGGTACAAAGGCAAGAAGTGACTGGCTTACATGCTTTCAAGAGGGAACCTAGATCCAAAGGGCATGGAGGAAGGTAGAATCTCCACTGAGTCATATCCAATCTGTCTAGGCAGGGCTGATGAAAGGAGATAGGGATAGGACTCTTGTGATACAATAGTGAATAATTGTTATCAGGACTCATTGTGAGGGTTGCAAATGTAAAGGTAGACATTTTATAGCAAGGAGGGGAGTGATTAACTTTGCAGTCTAGGAGCAGAGGTCCCTGGGACCATCAAGGGAGAAGAGCGGAGAGTGGGACCCTACCCAGAGAAGCAGTGATGCCTGAGATGGAGGCAGAGACGATGACATGGAGAGTTGGAGCAACTGGGGACTTTAGACCCAGAGAGGGAGAGGGACAGTGCGCTGACGACCAGGGGGGCAGGCTTGCAGGGTATACCCTTTGGTTGGTTGATGATGCATGGAGGGGATTGTAACCATGGCAATGAAACGATATATGACAGAATGAATGTAAAGCTAATGTTCTCCCATGTAGACTATCACATAATTCACAATAAAACATTAAAAAAAAATTTTATAGCCTCAGAAACCCTATGCAGGGTTGTTATAAGTTAAGACCACCTTGACAGCACCCAATCACCACCACCATTCTAGTCAGTGGCATGAAAGTTTCAATCTAACTTAACAAATTATGATTTTGCCTCATCTTACAGCCACCATTTTCTTTCATCTATATTAACCCACTGCCATCGATCTCACCATTAGCACTGCCAAAATATTCATCATGCATTGAGCAGTGAATAGTTTTCTGGTGAGCAAGCCCAATTCCCACCCAAGACCACTACTTCTATCAACTGGTATATAACCCAGTCATTGTTACCTTGTAAATTCTACTATCAAATGGTAGAAACAGAATTCTCATTGCTTACAAAATCCATCAATGTCTCAGATTTACTTCAGTATCAAATCAGGTCTCAGAAAAGAAAATGTGTGGCCTATCTCCCTCTTACTGTTTTCAACCATTACTCAACCATTTCCCTTATCTTTTTACTAAAAATTGTCTTAAAAAGCAAATCCTATATGAAATGTCTACATTTTCTGCAAAAAAAATATGATAATCAAGGTTTCTTATTTAGTGACTCATAGAACAGAGTTTTGTCAGATCCCAAACAAAGAATAAGAATGTCTTTTTTGATGGATTTCTGTATGTATTTTACTTGGCTTGACTATCAGGAAGCTCACAGTTTCCTTAGCCTTGATTTTCTGATGTAATAATTCTGTCCTTTTTAAATAAATCAGTAGAAAGAAAAAAAAAAAAAACACTAAAAAACTCTGTGCTAGTTTGCTAGTGGGCTACTCAGCAATGTTTCCTTCCTTGTCTAGCTACTCCTCTGAGAAAGGCAGGAAGAAATATGGCATCAGCAAATAGGGGTTCTGCTTTACCTACATACCATCCCTCATGCTCCTTCAACTAAAAAATAAAAATAAAAATCTCAGCAGAGCTTCCAGACTGAGAGACGAGGGGTCTACTTCCAAAAATCAGTAAATGAAAACCTATGAACCACAGTGGGATGATCTGCAATCCAGTATAGTCATGGCACAGGACTGGGCGGCATTTTGTTTTATTTTATGAAGGCTTACCATGAGTCCTGGTGTGGCGCTGTGGACTAATGTGTCAGACTGCAAAGTCATTTGAACTGCAAGGTTGGTGGTTCAAGATCACTAGCTTCTTCTTGGAAACCCTATACAGGGTTGCTATGGGTCAGAATCAACTTAATGGCGCTTAACAACAACCATGAGTCAGGGAAGATTTGACAGCAGTTAACAGCAACAAAGTCTGGCTGAAAATTTCTAGACTTGCTTTTGTCTTTCTAACAAAACCATAGGGGCCTTGGTGATGCAGTTGTTAAAGTACTCTACTGATAACTGTGAAGTTGACAGTTCAAACCTACCAGCTGTTCCAAAGGAGAACGATGCAACAGCTAGCCTCTGTGACAGCCTTGGAAACTCCATAGAGGCAGTTCTCCTCTATAGGGTCACTATGAGTCAGCAACAGGTAAGGAAAAGTTATCAACTATGGACCATATAACTGCGATTAAGAGACTTTTACAAAGTACAGAGCATTTTAATCTTGACAATCAAAATTTCAGCATTTTCATTCCCTATACCTAAGAGTCCTGATGTAGCACTGTAGGATAAACACTGGACTACTAACTGAAAGGTTGGCAGTTCAAACCCACCAACCGCTTCTCAAAAACCCTATATAGGGTCTCTATGAGTCAAAACTGTCTCAACAGCACTTAACAATAACAGCATCCAAGAGATGATGAAAATCTACCCAGTGGGTTAAACATTGCCTTGATTTCCTATAGAGTTCTACCTATATATAAGAACATAGTGCCTGAGCTTGACAGTGGAGTGCAAGTACACACCAGCTGTGAAAAGAAGGGCAGCCCAGCCCCCTGGGTGGATGCTCTAGGAGTGGGCTGGACATCATCTCTGGATCCCGGTCTGACCTCTGCCTCTAGGGGTGACAAGGCTCTTCTAGGGAAGTCATGGGCAAGGTCACACCATGAATCTTGGGGAAAAGGGGCCACAGCAGAACCTGGAAGGGCTGTCGTGTGGACCAGATACTAAATAAGCAGCAGAAATACATATTGCCAAAGGAAGTGGGCTACACTGCATCTTCTTTCTCTTGTTTAGCAGCTTTACTTAGATATACATATTACTGATGTGGTACTATAAGATCAATAGTGGACTGTGAACCACAAGGTCAGTAGTTCAAGGTGTGACCTTTTTTTCTGTTCATTTCTCTGTCTGTGCACCTCCACTCTAGTGACTAGAGGGGGTGCCTGAGCGAGTGGACCCACGACTCCCATCACCGGAGGGTTCTACTATGCATATGCACAGATCTACTTAGCAAAGACCACTGGGCCCAGATTGACGAAGGTGGAGGAGTCAACACGAAGAGCTTAAAATGGAAGGTCTCCCAAAATGGCTGGAGCCGGCCCTGGGTTGTATCTCACTAGAAGTAACATCTGAATGGGCTTTAGGAGATGGAGACAGACAGAAAAA